CCCCCGCCCCCCCCCCCCCCCCCTATTTACGCTTCTGTGAACTAGTCTTGTTATAGAGCGATTTTGATTTATTCTCGAATATCTTAGGTTAGGATTCGACGTTTTTTGTGAATAAACTCATTAAACTATACTGTCCACTCGGAAAATCGCCAATTAATATCCTATCCATTAATTCATTCATTGAATCGCAATCGATTGTGGAGATATATTTTATTATTCTAGTTTGTGCTATCCGTCATTGCGTACGAAAATCAATTCATTATGCCTTTTCTTCCATGAGAACTTCATCAAGATCTTAGCATTAAATTTAGCCTTGAAATGAAGTGCATTTAGAAAACGATATTCAACGTCATCTCGCTCGTAAATTACTATTCTCTTCACTGTAGATATAGCTTATGAGGATAAGTGCATAGGAAGAAAGGAAGGCTATTTATAAACTGTCATACTTCAGCTAACGTAAGAAACGAAATTATAAGCAGCATAGTACCTGTAATAGAATTTGAATAATGAATCTCGTACGGCCAGAAAAAAAGAAATAATAATATGACGCATCCGATATTAAGATAGAAACAGTGTCAGTTTTTCATGCTCGATGCAAATGTTATGCCTTTTTATGATCAACTTAGGCCTCTTAAAACAACTATTTCGAATGTCAAAATTATCAATGTAAGTGGTGAAATAAAAATCGAATACACGTTGTTGCTATCGATACACGGAAAGAAGTATTATTTCTTTCAGACGCCTATGATCGTCATCTAAACTCTCGAGAAATTAAGATGCCAACAATTGATTCAAGTATGTGTCAGTCATATGTACGAAGGAGGCAACAAATAAATACACAACTAGTATTTTCAACTAGTTTAAATTCATGTCATATAGTTTTTATTAGTATTTTATTCGCTGATCAAATCTTCATACCGACAGCGGCGTAAATAGGGAGGGGGCGAATGGGGCGTAACACCCCTCCTGCTTCCGAAAATTCATAGGAAAAAAGGGGTTTACGCCCCCCCCCTACTTTTGAAAATTTCGTTTTTTTTTGCTCTTCAAAACAGAAAAATT